CCCCCCTCTCTCTCTCTCCCCCCTCCCCCCTCCCTCTCTCCTTCCCTCCCTCTCCTCTCTCCTCCCTCTCCCCCCCTCCCCTCTTCTCTCTCTCCACTCTCCTCTCTCTCTCCCCCCCCCTCTCTCTCTCCATCTCCCCCCCCCCCCCCTCCCCCCTCCCTCCCCCTCTCCCTCCCTTCTTCCCCTCCCTCCCCCCCTCCTTCCCCTCCCCCCCCCTCTCTCCATCTCCAAGCTCAAAATCTGAGACCATCAGATTGCACCCAAACCGATTATAATGAGCCCATTAGCCTGTTAAAGAAGGATTTATCAGGATGGCAAATTCAAAGAAGGGAAAAAAACAAGCTGAATGTCGAAGGTGGTGTTTGTAATGATGGTGATGGGAGATAATGGGGGTTGTAAGGTGGTGATTGCTGGCGGTGTGATATGTGATGGTGAAAATGTTGGTGATGATGAAACTTGGTGGTGATGGTGTTATGATGATGGTGATGATGAAACTGGTGGTGATGATTTAATGAAATGATGATTGGTGATGAATAGATGGTGATGAAACTGGTGAAATGCGTGTGGTGATGATATGATGATGGCTTGATTGGATATGATGTATGAGATAACGATGATAAGAATGAAGAGGTGGTTGTGATGATAACCAGTAATAGTAATTTCAGATGTATCAACTACTCATCACGAAGATTTATATGCTTAAATCTAATAATAATGATCACGGTTACAATTCCATGACACCATAACAACGTTAAATATGATAGCAAAAGAAATCACCATAGAAGAAATTATACTCATGGCAACCGTCTTATGTTCTATTTTTAGCTCCTATTTGATTGCCATTCCTTCTGCAGTTTGTGTTGTTATCGATCTAACAGTCGTTTCATCTATATATTTTTTTTGGTCAAGATATTAATTATGAATAATCTATGACTTGCAACTGTCTTTGTCTCTTTGTGTCTGGTTATCTCTCTCTCTCTCTCTCTCTCTCTCTCTCTCTCTCTCTCTCTCTCTCTTTCTTTTCATCTCCTCTCTCTCTCTCTCTCTTCTTTTTTTTCTCTCGCTTTCTCTCTCGTTTTTTTTCCTCTCGTTTTTCTCTCTTTCTCTCTTCTCTCTCTCCTTTTCTCTGCCTCTCTCCTGATTTATCTCTCTCTCTCTTATCATTTAGGAATATTTATTTGCATTTTTTTTACCACAATCCATATACCGTCGACACAAGATAACGTTCACTTCAACACTTGCTGACTATGACGTAGACACAACAAAGTCTTATTTACTGATGTTGATTCTCTTTACGATAAATATACGACTTTCTCTTTCATTTTCCCCGGGGTATGTTTATCTTTGTCACTGGGTGTGAAAGTTTGTGTATCTTAATTGATTGTTAATCGACTCTATGTCAAGAAGTTTGTGTTCTATGATGTACTCATTGGCATAACTAACACGGGAGTTCAGTTTATCAATTTCTCTATTTCATTTTTATCACTCTTGTTACACGTTGTCTCAACCGCCTGTGCAGACATACTTAACCGGCTTGTTGGGGCTTTTCTATCCGTGAACATACTTGAACTGGTTTTATATCTCCAATAGATGGCGTTGTTGTTTTTATATCTCCATAGATGGCGTTGTGTTTTTATATCTCCAATAGATGGCGTTGTTTGTTTTTTATATATCTCCGATAGATGGCGTTGTTATGTTTGTCTAAAAAATAGCGTTGTTTGTTTTCTCTCCGATATAGATGGCGTTGTCTGTTTTATATCTCCGATAGATGGCGTTGTCAATTTTATATGTCCAATAGATGGCGTTGTTGGTTATATCTCAAATAGATGGCGTCGTTTGATCTATATTTCCAATAGATGGCGTTGTTTGTTTTATATCTCCAATAGATGCCGTTGTTTTTGCTTTTTATCTCCAATAGATGGTGGTTTGTTTTACATCTCTAGTAGATGGCGTGTTGGTTTATTTCCCAATAGATGGCGTTGTTTTTTTCCAATAGATGGCAATTGCTCTTTTCCCCCTTTTTTTTCCGGTGGCAATTAGGGTGTCTCGCGACGCGACACCAAAAGCTATCTCGTGATCGGAGGCGAGACAGGCCTCTAAGCTCCGCCCATTTCTGTGACGTAATGGGAATGGCCGCGGTTGACGGCTTGCTATTTTACTGTACTGGTTATTCTTCCGACAGGTACACAGTATTTTGGAATTTGATATCCAAGATGGCTTTTGATATCTTACGGTGGGTAGTGCGGTGTTATAGATATCCAATAAAAGTACAATTATGCATGAAATATCCGAAGTAGGAGGAATACACCTGGCAACTTGATAAATGTTTACCACCTGTTCGATTCCTGTCGCGTGAAAGGTATCGCGTTTGCCGTAACCGCTGGAAAAGATGGCATTTATTTCCAATAGATGGCGGTTTGTTTTATATGCAATAGATGGCATTGCTTTTTTTACATCTATAGATGGTGTTGCTATTTTTTTCATCTCCAATAGATAGCGCTGATTGTTTTATATCTACGTAGATGACGTTGTTTTGAATTTTCCAATAGATGGCTTTTTTTTTTTATCCAAGAGATGGCGTTTTTATTTCCAATAGATGGCGTTGTTTATTATATCTCCAATAGATGGCGTTTTTATATCTAATAGATGGCACTGCGTTTTTTTTATGTCCAATAGACGGTGTTGCTATTTTTTTTTTTTTTCATCCAGTAATTGGCGTTATTTGTTTTATATTTCCAATAGATGGGATTGTTGGTTATATATTTCCAATAGATGGTGTCTTTTTGTTGTTTTTTCTATGTGCAATAGCTGTTTTTTTTTCTCCAATAGATGGCGTTGCTGTTTTTATTTTTCCAATAGATGGCATTGTTTGTTTTATAAATCCAGTAAATGTCGTTGTTGGTTTTATATTTTCAGTAGTTTTTTTTTTTTTTTTTTTTTTTTTTTTATTTTTTTTTTTTATTTTTTAATCAGCAATATATGCATTGCTGTTTTATGTAATCTCCAATAGATGGTGTTGCCGTTTTTTTTTATATTAATAGATGGCGTGTTTGTTTTTATATCTCCAGTAGATGGCGTTGTTGGTTTTGTTTCCAATAGATGGCGGTTGTTTTTTAATTCCAATAGATGGCGTTGCTGGTTTTCTTTTCATCTCCATAGATGCGTTGTTTTGTTTCCAGTAGATGGCGTGTTTGGTTTTTCCAATAGATGGCGGCTGTTGGTTTATTGGCAATAGATGGCGTTGTGTTTTTCTTTTTATCTCCAATAGATGGCGTTTTGTTTTCTCTCTCTTCCAATAGATGGCGTTGCTTTTTTATCTCCAATAGATGGCATTGCTGTTTTATTTTATTTCCAATAGATGGCGTTGTATGTTTTATTTCCTGTAGATGGCGTTGTTGGTTTTATATTTTTCAATAATAGATGGCGTTGTTTTTTTATCTGTAATATTTTTTTTATCTCAAATAGATGGCGTTGTTTGTTTCTATATCTCAGTAGATGGCGTTGTTGGTTTTTCCAATAGATGGCGTTGTTGTTGTTTTTATTTGCAATAGATGTGCCGTTTTTCTTTTTATCTCCAATAGATGAAGTTGCTGTTTTCTCTCTCTTCAATAGATGGCGCTTGCTTTTTTTATCTCCAATAGATGGCGTTGCTTTTTTTTCTATCTCCAATAGATGGCATTGTTTTTACTTTTATTTCCAATAGATGGCGTTGTTGGTTTTGTTTCCAATAGATGCGTTTTTTATTTGCAATAGATTGTTTTTTTTTTTTTTTTTTTTTTTATTCAATAGATGGCGGTTTGTTTTGTATTTCCAATAGATGGCGTTGTTGGTTTTATATCCCCAGAGGGTGGCATTGATATATAAATGTTTTGGAGAATAACAGATTTGAGCCGATGTCATCACAAGCTTTTTTATGGAATCATATAATATCAACAATGATTCCACAATCAGTATCAGAGGGAATCGTTCGTGTACTCGCATTAGCGACATCTACAAAAAGAAAATGAAAAACTCTTAAATTAAATGTATTAATGATTTAATGTATTAATGTAAACCTGCAAAATGACATGTGCCGATATATAAGCCCCATAAATATAGCTATATAAGTATAAGTTCCTCAAACATATAAAGAACAAGAAATAAATAAAGATTCAGTCGATATATATATAAATAAATTGATCAAAACGTGAATAAATTAATAGATAAAGATACGAATGAAAATTAATCACCGATTTGGCATTCAGACGAATCCCTTCTTTCGCTTTTTTTTCTCGATCTTGATAACTTGCAATTTGAATTAATGGCTCCTCGTGTAGATTCAATTAATGAGTTCGCTCTGTGATTATTCACCGCAGATAAAGCGATACAAAGAAAAGGCGAAGAAGAAAAAAGAGATATCGTCACAGGATCAGATCCAAGCCATTTGTTTTAATTCAATCGTATTTTTCGCATTTTTCTTTTGTTTTTTGTTTGTTTGTTTTTTATGTGTACTAATGCTGCTTCGTTCTTTTACTTATTTTGGTTATTGCTGTTCATGATCGTTATTGAAAATCAGTATTTTTCTAAATTATAATTTGTAAGTCTTAACGTAAGTTGCGGAATATAAAAACTAGAAAATAACTAAGTACATAATAAGATGCAAAAGTGAATATTAACATTACGCAATACTCCTGACCAAGACAAACTAATTTAGCAATGAATAAGAAAGAATACCAATCAGATTAATTTTCCTCTTTTTCCCATTCTTCTCTTTCTCTTTATCCATTTTAACCATTTCCTCTCCTTCTTCAGCAGACGTCGCGACGCTGGCGACCTCAGTGTGGGATGCACGGCTCGTCTCGGGGGTCGAACCTCCTGCTCCTGCTGCCCTTCCTGCTGACGCTCTTACTCATGCTCCTGCTGGCCGCCACGCCCTCTGCTGCGGAGGTCCTGCAAGGTGAGTCTCCTGCTGTCCCCGCAAACACCTCCTTCACCTCCTCGACGCCCATCCTCGACCAGGAGGAGGACGTCGAGGGCGTGCGGTGGGAGGAGGAAGGGGAACATGAAGAAGCGAGGGACGGGTTGGAAAAGGAAATAGGAGAAGAGGTAGAAAGAATAGAAAGCGAAGATTCCGATAACGGAGGACAAGGAGACGCGGGACGTCGAGATGATCACGTACACTGGCGACGTCCAGGATGACTCGCCGCTCCTGTTAGACGAGGACTTCCTTCCTCCGGTGACGAGCCTGGACGAGGAGAGGCCGGAGACGCCGATGCCCGAAG